TTTTTTATAACCAATATTATACACAGATTTGATTTTTGATTTTGATTTTTTATAGTATTTATTTGCAGATGTTAATCGCAAAAATTGGCTGAATTACAGAATTCTTTCGGGTATAGAAATATATATTATCTCGAGAGTACCCTAGACTATATTCCACACGGATAGTGTCTCATACAGGGAGATTAGTATTAAAAATGAACACTAAAATATCTTGCCCTTTTTATTATTAAATAATAAAAGCAGTGATACTTATGAATACAAAAAAGGATCGAGCTGGAAACTGTTAACGCTATACCTTAAGGATTGTGTAATAAGGACGTCTATCATTTGTTTAGTATAAAACTTGATTACCAAAATATAATTCCTTTGTGTTAACTTCACTGGATATTTTTGTGGATTGAAAGTCAATATTTTCCAACGCATTTCTGTGTAAGTATACCTACACATAAAATTGAACAGAATTTATCGGAAGACCTTACTCCTTCTGAAAAGTTGAAGCTATATTAATAACAATAACAAATTATTACCAGAAGCAAGTATTTCAACCATTAGCAATGAAACTTATTGTTATCAGAGGTAATCATCTTGTCTGAATAGACTCGCTTCTAAAATTCGCCGCATTGTCTATTTTATAGCGGAGTCCGATAGCAATGTATTATGGAACTGCCGTAAGCAATCTAGACGAAGGACGCTTTATATGATCCGATTTCTGATAATTAAATTATTTCTTTATATATTTAAAAGCATCTTTCGGATTATGTAAACCGGAAATATTTGATATATATTTCTTATTAATAACGCTAAGTAAAATAAAAATATTCTTAACCGATTATGAAAATTCTTTCACCAATGGTTTTATTTTTAAAAAGTAGTCTAATTATTTTTTATACAGTAATTTCACCCATGTGAAAACATGGTCGTTTGCTAGACAGAAGTTTTTCACAGAAAGAAACGCTCATTTTTTATTGTTGTACAGGAATAAAATGACTAATATCAACATTGAGATTTGTTAATATTAAATATTTTTATGAATTGATGATTGATGGAATTATTATAGATTAAAAATTTTAATTTCTTATTTTAGGTATTAATTAACCGATTTTATCGTTTTATTATGAGCCAATTTCCTCATTTGTAACAGAGTGTCAAAAAATCCCCTTAATATTAAATAGAGTGTGTAGGAGGTTTATTCTTTTATTAAAATGTCGTTCAGGATATTTTTTATCCTAAGTAATCATATTGATTATTATCATTAAGCCTCGGTTAAAGTATAGTGAGGTATAAATCATATATTATTACTTAATTAACTTTTCTTTTATAGAAGAGGCGTTTGTTCAACAGTGGATGTTTTCCGGGTTGAGATGATGATGAACTTTTTTTTATTGTCAAATGGGCGATTTTGCAGACAGAAGTTAGTAATAAGTAATAATAAAACGGTAAGTTCGATAAGTTTAAAGCCGCCTAACAATTTGAATAGTACACGCAATCGGCTCTTGTCGCCGACTCGAATGGGGGTGTATCGGAACGGGCCGCAGGTGCCGATTACAGATCGCACAGCGGATAGAAGTACACGCAACTACATAAACTCTCAAAGAGCAAAGGTGCCAAATGATATCAATTTATTATACTTCTTGTATACCATTTTTTTTTTCACAATAATTGTACACATTATGTAATGGTATATTTACTGTAATTTATGGACTCCTGGTACTTAGATTCTGAGTTTGTAGCATAGTCGATTAGTAATAAGTTACAGGACAAGAGACAAAACATCTGAGTCCTCTCGAAAGACAATGCGTGAGTGGTATCAGAGGTATCGCTTGATAACGTGTTCTCTGTACTGCTGTTCATGTAGAGGCAAAGACTATCGGTTACCACAAGGTGGACTGTCCCCTTTATCGATTCCAATTACTTAAAAAATGAGTATCGAGTGCTCATAAATAACATGATCACAGTAAATTTCCCGTTGTATATAAAAAAGACAATTCGAAATTAAACAAATAAAAGTGGTAAGCATTGCTGGCAGCTTTTTTAGGCTTTATTTGTATTGAAAATAGATATATTCTCCATTTTTTCTCTCTTGTACCTACATTTTAGTAACTATATCGCAATACCAGTAAGAATACATAATTCGAATTTTAGGTTTACTGTTTGTTAATAATACTACTGGAATTGGTAAATAAACGTATACCCAAGAGAAAGTGGTATCCGAATAGCACTGGAATGAATCCACTTTATCGTACGCAGCATTTACTATTACTGTTTACTCTTTCTTATTCCGTGTCACATATTTATACAAAACTCCTGTAATTATATACCTTCAGATATAAATGAATTTGTATTAATATTACATCTTGAGGAATTATATTCATTATGTTTAGGTTTCGTTTAAATTCAGTCCGACTCTAATAATAAACATTTAAACTGCACAAAATACATAATTTTATTTTAAAGTTTACATATGCCATTTCATGCATAAATATTATTCTAACCTCCATGTTCTTAACCTCGGCAAAGTTTCTGATATACGGTAGCAATACGTTAATATCCATACAGATAACAAGTTACCAATACTGGATTCTCTAAGATATATTCCCTACGCAGTTTGATCGCAGATAACAATGGAATAAACTTAACTTGGAGGCACGAAATAATGTGCATTTTAATTACACTTCCTTGCTTTTAAATTATGCACAAAGCCTTGTCGTTATTCAACCATTCTGGATTTTATCCAACCTATTAAGAATTAATAGGTAGGATAAAATTCCGAATGGATGTATTGCCACTGTTAATGTTTAGATATCTAAAAAGACGACATACCTATTATAAACTAACGGTATTCATTATTGAATTACTAAGGGTACACATTATTATTCTTTTTAAATATTATATTATGTTGTTAAAGGTGAGGAACTAAGTGACTTATTTTTCTTATTAATTTAATTTATTTGGTGATTATCAGACATCTTTAATAAGTTGCAGTAATTGTAAAAATGTAACAAAGAAGTCGTCGTAGAAAGTCCTATTCGTAAATGTACCACACATACTTGCATTAACTAGTGGTCGCCATTGAAAATTAAGTTCGACCCTAATAAAAAATACAAAAAGATCTTTAAACTAGCAATAGCAATTAAACAAAAGAGTACATATAGGTATATGTATTAAATAATTTGTAGAGTATGTAATAATATATTTTTATATACATTTAATGAAATTTTCATGATTCATTAAAAAAAAATATTATTCTGGACTTCTTCTCTATATAAACAGTAAGTGTGCAAAGTTTCATACTGCTACGTCCGCGCAATTTTCGTAAAAAGGGGTAAAAAGTTTTTATTTCATGTACAAATATAACGATAATAAAATATCACGCTATTAACATAGTAACAACTATTAATTCTTTAGTTATATTTGTTAAAAATAAGACAACATAAACTGACTTTTTTAACTTTAATTACACGATTTAAGAAATATTGATATTCTATTTTACGAAACTTTCCCTAAAACTATCCAATAAAGCCGAAATTCTTGTCAGAAGAAAATAAAAACGTAGGTAAGTTTAAAAGCGACAGCGATCCGAATAATCCGCCAAGATGATACGAGATCGCGTTAGGAAAATGTCATCGGCAGTCTCGGCACGTTCCATCCAGGCAATGACATCCAACCTCTAGATACAGAGGGAAAAAATACACGAGCAACTTTCACAAAAGTGGGAGAAGTCATTTATCAAGCCACCGCTAAGAACTCTCGACAGCGCGAACTTTTGATACAGGATAGCCTGCCAGCAGACATTAATAACAAGGATATCATAACACTCGAAGTGTTTTTTAGGATGTCCTCAACGTGTTTTATCACTTAAGCTGGAAAACTTTCCTCTTAACGCTATAGAGTTTTTGCTCGCATAGCGTTAACCGAGAACTATATAAGGAAAGTTGTAGTTTTTCTATTGTGCATCGGGGAAACCACTTTGTTGTTCAAGAACGTTCTCTTTAACTACACTTTGTTGTTCAAATCTATATTTCTTTCTATTTAAATTAAAGTTTTTCTCGTTATCATAATTATTTTCTTCTTGTAAACTTTAATTTCTTACTTTAGTTTATTAATGTTTTATGAAGAAAAATATTAAATTGCTTCAAGTTTTTTAATAGCTGTAGTATAATGAGTTTGCATGCTATATCGATCTGTATCAACCACAAATAAAGCCGTGACGTATCTTTATTCCCAACGCTTACTTCCAAAACTTCAGGCGCGTTCTGAACGTAACTAACTTCCAGTTAGTACCGTAAACGACTTTACGTGTCGAACAAGGAAATCAAATTATCAACTCCTACCAACTTCGCACCTCTTCTACTCCGTACGAGATACCAGAATTTGTTTTCGAAAACGTTTGCCACACTCTATTTGAAAATTCTGTACGTTGCTTTAGACAAAAATATGTGGAGGGACGCAAAGGCCAAACAAGCTTTATTGGGTATCTTCACCAAAGTATGTGTGTCGGGAATTCAATAAGTGACAGCAAAAAGAATTAAGGGCGCCCATAACAGTAGAGGGTGCAATACTTGATTGTCACTTTATTATTTTTGGCAATGTAAAAAGTTTAAGTATAATTAACTTTAGTATACTGTAACTACTTATTTTTACAATTACTCAATAATTAATTTTTTTTTTGATGTACATAATAAATGCAGTTACCAGTTACACTTTTTTATTTAGATTAATAAATAGATTTATTAAAATTCTTTGCTGTTTTTAATTATGCTTGTTTTTATTATTTCAATGCAGCATCAGTTTTATTTTTTAATTCTTAGTAGTCCCGGTGGCTCCATTAAGAAAACATTACATAATTGTGCGAGAGCGATCGGCGCGCCAGTGGCGCCGTGCGAGGGATCGTGTAACTATGTGACGGCAAGGGTACGGGGGGAGTACAGTCAGAGGGGCGGCTATGAGCGCACTACTCTCGCTAAACTGTCGAGCCGACTGTTTCGTCAGTCGCACACCAAACATGATGAGGACGGCACGCGAGCGCGTTGCCTCCTATACCGCATGTACGTGCGTCGCGATGTAAATACAAAATAGTGAAATGAATAACAGTTATGAAAAATGTCTACAAGACAATATTGACTTTGTATTGTAATTTCGTGTCTAAATTTTTTTAATTGCCCTTTTGAATTCATCGGTAAAGACAAATGTGTGTAGAAAATGTTTCAATTGCTAACTGTTTTATTAGTGACTTTAGGTGTTAATGCCGCGTATGCTCCAAAGGGTGTGGATAATTGTTATCAGCCGAAAAGTGATGAAAGTGTTACAGTGTGTCGTGTACGGACGCTGGATGCTACTGGATCCTCTTTAGGATATGCTTCTTCAGAAAACACAAAACATTTAAATGTCGAATGTAATCAGGTGCTTCTTTTCGAAAGTTACCTTGAAGCAAACTATTTCCAAAGATTTTCATCGCTCTCAGAACTAACACTTCAGAACTGTAAACTACTTAGAATACCGGGCAACACGTTTGAGGGATTACGTGAACTGAAAAAGTTGTTGATTCGATCGAAAAACAACGATTGGAATAAAAACTTGGAACTCTCACTGGGGACTTTTAACGGATTGCGGGAACTACAAACACTCGATTTAGGAAATAACAATTTAAAAGCAATACCGTCGGATGTATTTTGCCCGTTGGATAATTTGCAAGTGTTAAATTTGACCAATAATAAAATTCGAAGTGTCGATCGTCTCGGATTTGGGAAGAGCTGCGGTTCCGGTTTAAGGAGTTTAGACTTAAGTAATAATGAAATTAAGTCTTTATCTGAAGAGTCTGAGATTACTGGACTAAGAAGACTCCAAGAATTACGATTACAACACAACAATATTACTGATATTTCAGGTGAAACTTTTAATGGGCTTATTTCTTTACGAATATTAAATATTTCCAACAATAATATCCAGTCTATTCCCGAGGGTACGTTTGCAAGCACAAAAGAATTAAGAGAGGTGTATTTAAATAATAATATACTATTTGAGTTAGCCCGAGGCGTTTTCCACCGATTAGAACAGCTGCTTGTCTTAGATTTATCGAATAATCAGCTCTCAAGCGCTCATATTGACGGTGGAACATTTATTGGCCTTATACGCTTAGTCATTCTGAATTTATCCAATAATGCCTTGACGAGAATAGATGGCAAGACATTCAAGGATTTATTCTTCCTTCAGATATTAGATCTTAGGAACAACTCCATCGGTTACATTGAAGAAAATACATTCCTTCCTTTGTACAATTTACATACTTTAAATTTAGCAGAAAATCGTTTACATACAATAGATGAGTTTTTATTTAATGGTTTGTTTGTACTTAGTAAGTTAAATTTAAATAACAACTTGTTAATTAATATAGATGCAAAATCATTTAAGAATTGTTCTGATTTAAAAGAATTAGATTTAAGTTCTAACCAATTAAATGACGTTCCCTCTGCTATTTGGGAATTATCTCTATTAAAAACTCTTGATCTTGGTGAAAATTTAATAACTGATATAAAAAATGGATCTTTTCGTAATTTAGATCAACTAACTGGATTAAGATTAATTGATAACCAAATTGGTAACTTAACTGTTGGTATGTTTTGGGATTTACCGAGCTTACAGGTACTAAATTTGGCAAAAAATAAAATACAATCCATAGAGAGGGGAAGTTTCCAAAGAAATAAACAATTAGAGGCAATAAGATTGGATGGCAATTTTGTATCTGATATTAATGGAGTATTTTCAACACTATTAAGCTTATTATGGCTTAATTTGTCAGAAAATCACTTAGTGTGGTTTGATTATGCTTTTATACCAAGTACCTTAAAATGGCTAGATGTACATGGAAACTTCATTGAAAATTTAGGAAATTATTACAGGCTCCAAGATGAAATTCATATAAAAACTTTAGATGTGAGTCATAACCGAATTATTGAAATATCTCCATTAGCAATCCCAAATAGCGTCGAACTGTTATTCATAAATAATAATAACATAAACAACATCCAAGTAAATACATTTATGGACAAACGCAATCTTACCAGAGTCGATATTTACGCAAATGAGATATCTCATTTAGATATCAACAGCCTCCGGTTGTCCCCGGTTCCTTCGAACAAGTCGCTCCCTGAGTTCTATATCGGAGGAAATCCGTTTATCTGTGATTGCTCGATGGAATGGTTGCCTTTAATAAACAATATGACTGCAATGAGACAACACCCTAGAATTATGGATTTAGAAAATGTTTTGTGTAAAATGACGCTTGCGAGAGGTGTTACACATATTCCACTTAGTAATTTACAATCCACGGATTTTTTGTGTGCATACGAAACACACTGTTTTACTTTATGTCATTGTTGTGATTATTTTGCCTGCGATTGTCAAATGACTTGTCCTAATAATTGTTCTTGTTATCATGACTCAACATGGCATAATAATGTTGTTGATTGCTCGGCCCAACGTGCCAATACTACAGAAATACCAGATAAAATACCCATGGATGCAACTGAGGTTTATTTAGACGGAAACAACTTCAGAGAATTGCAAAATTATGCATTCATTGGTAGAAAAAATATGAGATCGCTGTATGTAAATTCAAGCGAAGTCGAAAATATACAGAATAGAACGTTCGCCGGATTATCCTCTCTCATTATTTTACATCTTGGAAACAATAAACTAAAACATTTAAACGGCCATGAGTTCGAACATCTGACACTGCTTAACGAGCTTTATTTGCAAAATAACTTCATTAGCCATATAGCAAACTCGACATTTTCATCTTTAGATTCATTGAAAATACTAAGATTAGATGGAAATAGATTAATGGACTTTGCCGTGTGGAGTTTGAGTAATAAAAATAACTTAAATGCATTATCATTAGGAAATAACATGTGGTCTTGTAAATGTCGATATTTACAGAGGTTTACAGCATTTATATCTGACAACGTTCCTAAAATTATTGATATGGCAGACATATGGTGTTGGAACATTGACTCGCAGTCGCCACAAAAGAAAGAACTCAATCTTAATGGTACAATATGCAGCGACTATTATGCTGGAGACTCTGTAATAAATAATGCATTTGTCTCAAATTACATGCCTATGGTAACTACTTTCACTGGATTTATTCTGATCATACTAGTCATCCTTGTGACTTTCTTATTTAGAGACACGATTCGTATATGGCTTTATACAAGCTGCGGAATAAGATTGTTTTCATTCACTGGAGCGTACGATGACACTGATAAATTATACGATGCTTATGTGTGCTACAGCCCCAAAGATGATGATTTTGTTATTCAAACATTAGCCGCTGAATTGGAAAATGGAAGTCCTTCTTATCACTTGTGTTTACATTATAGAGATATACCACAGCATAGGGTTGCATATATGCAATGTTCAATACCTCTCTTAGAAGCAGCAGAAGCTTCTAAACGCATAATTATAATACTAACGAGTAATTTTATGGAGACAGAATGGTCCCGATTCGAATTTCGAAAAGCACTACACCAAATCTTGAAGTCTCGAATTTATACTTTAGTTATTATAAAAGAAAACTCAGTATTGCCCAAAGCGGATAGTGATCCGGAATTGAGGCCATATTTAAAAACGTGTGTTAGAATAAAATGGGGCCAGAAGAAATTTTGGAAAAGGTTGCGTTATGCGATGCCGGATAGTAAATTTAAATTAAAATCCACCAGTTACAGGAATAATATAAATACTTACAATAAAAGAGGTAACATGCAGAATGGAACGATGAGATCATTTTCATTTACAGAAAAAATGAGAGGATCGGCTGATGGAGTGAGCTCTAATCCAGAATTTGTGGAGGACCGTCCACAGCAAGCTCATATCATGTCATACGCACCCGAGGGCAGGCCTCCGTCTGATCATATATATTCCTCAATAGATTCCGACTATTCCTCATTAGAACTAGGAGGTAATAACCCAAATAGAAGGCGTGAATTTAGGCACTGGCCTCCTCCACCGCCTCTTATTGACACCCAGTCCTCAGGACAAGCGTTTCTTGTCTAGTCTATGTGTTAACAAACTCATTATTAAAATCATTTAGTCAAAGCTTCATGTGTATATTGTATTAATCGCAACGCGCGCTTTACCAAATAATTAAGATTTTAATCTATTTTTGTAATTTCTCGCCATTACAAAGGGCGGTCATTTCGTATAATATTTGTGTAAATACATTCTATAAGACTGCTGTAGCATATATTATGTGAATTTGTATATAGTGTGTAAATAAATGTCCATATAAGTCACGAGTATACTATTTATATACTTTAATAAAGCCATTGTGATAATTTTGCATATATCCATCTTTTATTTTCAACCATTCAATCTTTATTTTATTTTGGACAAGGGACACAGTTAAAGTATTATTTTTTACAGTGAATGTGTGAAGTATAGGAATATACGAAATTAATAGATTTGTATAACATTATGGCTATTAAGTTATTATACTTATTGTCAATTTTAACACGCATTTTCTACCAACGTCTCCCAAAATCGTGACAGTATTCTGAATTGCTTTGTAATAAGTACTGTCGTATCCAAAGACTTTAAAAGCAGATTAGGGAAAGGGTCTCGGGTACCCAGCTAAATCTGACAAAGCACAGGACAGTACGTGAGAAAAATAAAGCGGTCATACTGTGGTTCATACCATAATCGCAAGAGAGAGATGCCTTCTGAATTTTAAATAACATCTATTTAAGTTATCTAACAAAGAAAACCACTTGAAAATAATAGAGAAATATGTGTGGAGTTATTAAAAAGTTGAGTGCAACAGGATTTATACTGTTTATTTATCATATAATAAGAACATAAAATACATATGCCATCAAAAAAATAGGATTTGATTTTGAAGTGAGCACAGATGCATTTAAAATACTTAAATTGTTTCTCTTCTTATGAATTCATCTTGCCTTTAATAAATATTAGTTTTAAAAAATCCATTACTGTAATTGTGACAATTATGTTAAATTTATATGAAATGCAGAATACCTATATTATGTGGGTATGAATATAACTCTGATTCCATTTGTGGCATTATTACCTTATCTATATATAACAACTGATATGATGATAATATATAAATAAATCAAATAAACAATGTAACAATGTAAATATTCATATGTATTTTTCGTAGTAATCTCTGCACAAAGTTATCTGTGTATCTATTGTTTGTCTATTACCGTCTCGTCTATTTCAGCCGCCAAGTAGCTTACTTACAAACTGTGTTCCAGTTAAAATGTGAGATAAGGTAGTGAAATTACAGAATCCTGGAATGGCAACTTATGAGAGGTGTGATACCTCTCATAAGTTGACATTCTAGAATTCTGTCACTTGCTCGTCACATGGAGATATGCTGTTCATGTATATAGGAGAATGTTACTAGTTACCATCAGCTGTGCCATTACAATTACATAAAATAATGTATAATAGATTTATAGATAAGAGTTTTTTTAATGATGATAATAAAATGGTGCACCCGTCTGCGTCTACAGTTTTCGCTGGCGGGGCACCAGTGGGCGATGATAAGATGAATATGAGATCAGATCAGTTAGCCCATCCTGACAAAATCATCAGGAATTTATCATGGTGATTTTCAGGGGAAATTGCGTGGAGGTCAGCTTGACTCGGTACATTGGCAGCAATGGAGTCAACACCTCAGAATCTCGTTCACCCAAGGAGATAAGTGTTGCTTAATTTATATAATACATCTTTCATTACTTGAAACATGTGGAGCTAAATATATAAAGGATATATGAAAAATTTCATGTGGAAAGGACCGTAGTAATAATGGTTTACTTGTAACCTGACCACATTCAATCGAATAGAAATTACAGTGATAATATCGTTTACCAATTTAACTATAAGGTCAATTCCTAAATTCACATTACTGGTTTCAGTCACATAAACATCTACATTTTGTCTTGTTAGTAAGATATATAAAAATACATAATTGATAAATGTGGTATCTATGTCCAAATTTCATCAAAACGAATTCAGCTGGTACAAGTAAAACAGTATTGAAGCTTCACGTATGTATGAAACGATATCTGTCAGCGGATTTGAGTTTTGAGGAATAAATAATATTTTGTAATATTACTTAATTTGATTGTATCAAATTAATTGTTATATTCACAATTACTTAACCCGAATTGAATGGAAGTAATTTAAAATCATTACGGTTTTTGTATAATATCTTATCAGTATAGTAACTATCTATTACATATCTTGTTGTCGGTACTCAAATATTTTATCAAATTTCTAAGTACTTACTCAAAGAAAATGATAAACATCTTATCTGTGAAAGTGAATTAGACAAATTGTTGTCAGAAATTGTATGAAAATATCAATTAATTCAGTAACATATGTTAGACTGTGAAAACAATACCGGAAACATATGTAAGCAACCGTTAATATATTCTATATATTCACTAAACTAAATTTACTCATGGGCCATGAATTTTCCATACTAATAATATTTATACGAAATTGTCTATCAGTTTGTGTGTTACCGCCAAAATGGATAAATGATTCATATTATTTATAAAACTCATGTTCATTTCGAACTACATAATTTAAAAACCGTACTCTCTACTAATATTATACAAAAGTATGACTTTTTCTCTTTTGTTACCTCTTCACTACAAAACGGCTGAACTGACCGTAATGTAATTTCTCATTATATTAAATTATATCACGAAAACTATATCAGTTTTAAAAAAGTAAACAAACTGATAACACCTCAGTGATACAGAAAACAGGACAAATCTAGGGAGGAAATATAATTAGAAGGTTTGTAATAAGTAAGTATATTGTGATAACAGTACATGTATTTTTTACTCTCTCTATTTCAAAATCCGTTAAAGTAGTAGTTTTAAAGATTTAAGCATATACATAGGGACGGACAGATAGCGATGGTGACTTTGTTTTATACTATGTAGTGATTAACAAACATATTGACATCATAGTAGAGATCGTATCTGAACAAGTAATCTTTCCAAATATTGTATAGTATGGTCTACCATAATAATTTAGCTCTTGTTTTTCTCTGCCAGATGAAACCTTGAGTAATAAGAGACAGATACATATCTAATTAGATATAACAATTGACAATGTCATTCGGAGTAATTTTAGAGTTATGACATAGCGCCATAACATAATATTAACCTCTTTTTTGTTTGCTAGTTCTTATTTAGATGCTTTGTTATATAAGTTGTAGCAAAATTTTTGAAATTATTTCAGAAATGGAGTTACAAGCATTGTTGTAATGATTTGTAGTTGTAACTGTTAAATATATATACATATACATAGTCTAGCAGTAAATACTGTAACAATTAAAAACAATTGTATTTATTATAAGAGTATTTACTTACATATATAAAGACAAAATTATATTATATATCTTGTGAAATTATCACTTATTGACGTGTCGATAGTAATACACTGATGGAAAATGGCAGTCAACTGTATATATGAAATTTTACAACTGTATTTTAAAATAAATTTAAATACTTACATCATGTTACCATGCACAAAAAAAAAATTGGAAATATGTCCAAATAGGTGACACTATGCAAAGTCTATATCTTATTTTATATATTGCTGAAAGCCCACCTTATTGGGAGCGGTAATACACATGAACAGTACTGTATATATGAAATACTACGATAAAATAAAATAAAATACTACATCACGTTACCATGTGAAACTTACGATACCACTCCTGCTTGGAATATGTATAACTAGCCTTAACGAAACACAGCTTACAAAGCATGCTGCTTGGCGACTGATATTAGTTAGCTTGATTACCCATGCAGAGAATATTTTACAGCCCTCTCTAGATTTTTTACTATAGCTAAACTGTTACTATAGTCTATGGACGCCTGAAATACCAGGGTTATCACGTGCGTGTTGCCGACCCTTAAGAAACCTTAATATATTATATATGATATATAAAATTCTCGTGTCACAGTTTTCGTTCTCATACTCCTCCGAAACGGCTTGACCGATTCTCATGAAATTTTGTGAGCGTACTGAGTAGGTCTGAGAATCGGCCAAAATCTATTTTTCATCCCCCTAAATGTTAGGGGTAGTCCACCCCTAAATTTTTATTTTTATTTTAAGGCAAAAAAACGTTTGCCGGGACAGCTAGTATCTATGTATAATTCAATCTAGAGAGACATAATTATAGCAGAGTAAAATACCTATGCCTCTCTGCCAAACAATGAACTGTCAACAACGAATACTAACCTTTACCATAGTCTATAACTTTAATGTCACGACCTTGTTCCACTTAAACATAAGACAAATTACGTTCAGAGGAAATAATAAAAAGGCGTTACTGGTTGTCAAAATATTAGACAGACTTGACACTTTAATCAAATACCTTCGATTATATATTATTACACAAGTTATGTAAAGCCTACATTATGCATATGTCTGATTCAATAATGACATACCGTAGAATGAATTGAGTTTAATAAAGGATCTAGGTAAGTTTGGTTTGAAAGACTTTTATATTGTAACTTACTATTTATTTATTGACTTTAAGTGAATAGAATAATGATGATTTACAATATATACATATATGGCATACTTTTATATTTAGATTCTAAATATAAAATTTGGAAAACCTAACTTTATAGAAATGACAGAATTATAAATTAGCTACCATGAAGTAAATAAGTATTCGTCGTAACTGGAAAGAAAATACCTGTAAGAAAAATATATTTTTCCCATATATAATATACATTTGTCCCATATATAAACAAACCAACCAGTTAATGCCGTACTCCATTACGGGAGATTAGTTGATCTGACAGATATCACCCACTTGACCTACATCTGTATGAGTCGCATCTATTATCCCCAGTCCAGTGACCTCTGTTAACGCAAATGGATAATAATTGAGATGACTCTCGCTGTGTATAAATACTTCTGTGATGAAGATCTTAATTTACGAGAGTACGGTAGGGTATATTGTCTAAATTGGTCTTACAATTAGGTTTTTTTTTAATAATACCGGATAATTCACAGTGTGGCTTCTAATCCCAAATTAAGGAGAGCTTATGCTATGGGTACCACACAGCTAATAGGAATACTTAAATACAATTTATTTGTAAATCCATAAATATAAATAGAAATAATAATACAAATGTTAGTATTGTGGGAAGGAATCGAAACCACGATCATCACATGGAAAGACGGCGTGCTGAACCACTGTATCATCGAGGTCGTAAATTTCAAATAAGGGATCTATTTGTAATAACTGAAATGTTCAATTGCAGTCATATATGGATTATTTTTCAGTCACTGTTGC